GAATCTCAGCTATGGGTTCAGAGAGGAGCAGTCAGAGATAGTGAAGGAGTGTAGAGGAGCCATGAGGGGCTACTGGTGGCTGCCAGTGGTTTGCTGTCTCTGTTGATAAATGAGGCACACGGGTTGAGCCAGGAGTCCAGAGGTGAAGTGCTGAGGAGAGTAAGTCCAGAGGTGAAGTGTCGAGGAGAGCAAGAGAGTGGAATTTTTGGGCTCCAAAGCTGCAACAACATGTGGATGGAATCTTAAGTCATTGTGAGACATGTCTGAAGTTGTTACGGTTACGACCGCGTGCGCTCCCAGCACCTCGTTCGCATGCACTGGTTCCATCAACAGCTCCGCCCCGACAGGTGATGGAGCGCACTTCCGGCGACGAGGCACACCTGCTCCCAATCAGCGGAGCAGTACTTGAGGGGAGCGTTGGTGTGTCCTTGTCTCCAGATGCTCTATCGACATCCCGCTATCATCAGTAAGCAGTCCAATCTAACTAACCTGTGTTTTCTCTCTTTTTTTTTTTGATGATCCCTGTGTTTTGCGTTTATCTGAACTGAACTCTGTATCGCCGTACCAGCGGCCCTTTGTTTCGTGCCAGTGGAAATCTCCTGGAGGTTATTGGACTGAACTGTGGTCTTGGGGAGCCTGGGTTTTGTTTGCTTGTTTGCACTCTGCTGTCTCTTCGCTATCTGAACTTTTATTTAAGGATTATCCTGTGGAACAGTACGCGCCATCCCCGGCGACTCGGCTTCCCAGACACCCCTTCCACGCTGGCGTTGAGCTGGGCTGCACTCTCAATAGCGGCGAGCCACGGCTTCCCACATTAGCAGATCCACGCACCGGCCAGCAGTCATCTCACCACCTCCTGCCTCCCCGCACAGCATCGTGCTTCATATCCAGGTTTCCATCATTATTTCCCACACAGTCAGTATTGATCTGCTTAGTCTGCTCATCCTCCACTGTTCTCAATTTAGTGGCTGCTTCTGTTCGCAGGACCCGGGTTGCTCACCAAGTGGTCCAGTCGACTCAGCTCCAAGTCACCCGTACCGGCCGTAACGTCTCCACTACTCCTTACACCTTCTGTTACCCTCCCTGATTAAAATCCTTGTCCTGCTTTGAAGTCTGTGTCCGAGTTCTGCACTTACTGGATCCTCAGTTCATGATCCTGACGGCTAGCCGTAACAGAAGTGCAATATTATACATGGCATGGTTTCCCCTGTGGGACACCTCCCAGTTCTAGAAGGCCCATTCATACACTTGACCATGGACTTTGTGGACATGGTTAGACCAGTGCAGGGCAAACGATACATGCTTCTGGTTATAGAGCAGTTCAGCAGATGGCCAGAGGCCACATCTGCTAAATACAAGAATGCAGAGACAGTGGCTAAGTTTCTGTGTAAAGAAGTTTGTTTCGGCTTGCCCATTAAAATCAGTTCAGATAATGGGAAAGAGCTTGTGAAGTGAAGACAGTGAAGTGTGTTCTGCAGAAACTAGGGATCAAGCAACACTATGGAAGTGTATTGTCCAACTTCAGTCTGATTGTTGAGCGATGCAATGGGATCCTGAAAAACAAATTACTTAAGATTTGCATGAGCACTGGGTTAAATTGGGTAGATGCTTTGTCGCTAGTGCTCATGGCATGCAGAGCAAGCCCTCACAGAACACTGGGGCTCACACCGCATGAGGCTTTGTTTGGCCGGCCAATGCCTTCGCTAGTGTACAGAGCAGTGAAGGGTCCATCTTTGGACATTTTGACAAATGACATGAAGTCATATGTGAAGCAAATGACTAACAGACACAGGAGTATCTCCTCCTGTGTTGTTTCTCTACAGGCTAGAGAGGTTCCGGAGGACGAAGAGCCCAAAGTGAAACCAGGAGACTTAATGTATGTTAAAGTGTTTAGGAGAAAGTGGGACTTTCCTCGAAGAGAAGGTCCATACGAGGTGGTCAGTGCAACTGCCCGTGCAGTGCAAGTGAAAGGTTCACCTACATGGTATCATCTAAACCACTGTGTGAAGGTCCCTGAGGACACGAACAGTTTCAAGGCAGAAGTGGTGCCAAAAGAGGAAAATGAACATCATCTGGAGCAGCAGCCAGTGTCTGAGGAGAGGAGTGAGCTTGATACTCCTCCCGACAATGATGCTGGTCATGATCCAGCTGTGCTTCCATCTCCTTGACTCTCCAGAGGAGGGAGAGCAAGGGAGAGGTGAGGAAGCTGTGGTAAGAAATAAAAGGGCTTCAGTTAGGGAATGGCCAGATGTCCAACATCGAATGACAAAGAGTGGAGGTATACAGAGAATGATACTTAGGTTGTGCACATGTCTAAGCAACCCTGGACTTCTTACATAGACACTTTCAGTCTCTGTGTACTCAGATCAAATACCTGGAAGACGTGTGTGTGTGTGTGTGTGTGTGTGTGTGTGTGTGTGTGTGTGTGTGTGTGTGTGTGGTATTGGGGGG